GAACCGCGCCGCGCGATACAAACTTTGAATATATAAAATTATGTACAAATTATCCACTTCCCTCCTCGATAACATAACAGTGATACGTCGTGATACCTTTCAGTGAATTCTTAATATATTTCTTTCAAAAAACCCAAAAGAAAAGACACGACTGGACCAAATATTCAATAGCGAACTTTTGCACGCTATTCCATGGTCGCCATTTTGATTTTTATTTCGTAAGAATTACGTAATTGAAATGACGTAATTTGTCATTTTGTGGCGTACCAAAGGGCAAACCTAGAGTCGGTGGGCACCACAGGTGGCCCCACCGACTAACAAGAACAATATTTTGTTATATATAAATAAGTTATATTCTGTGCCTTTATTCTTAGTCCTTAATTCGTTGGTATAGGCTTTGCAACATTCACATTTCACACATGGCAGCAGGTTCATGTAGATTTTACGTCATCCTGGAAAATGCAAAGAACCCACTTTATGACCTGTTGTTGGCGGTAAGAAATATTTGCAGGAAATTACATTTACAACTTCTTACGGAGTTCTTTTGATTCCACACTTTTACTACTTGAAAAATTATAAAAAGAATGCTCAGGATTTCTTTTATTATTGGTAAAACAACCAGGAACACAACACGAAAAACCAGCGCCACTTTTACTCAATGAAAGCGGACTGTTGCCGTTACTTCCAGAACTGCCAAACCTCTAGACGACCCGTGCAAGAGGTCTGAAAACTAGGGTCTTCATTGGCTGGAACAGCCTAGTAAGAACCAGATTTCTCCGCGCGCACCACACCTTGTGACGTCAATATCCATAAAGGCTATTGCGCTTGACTAATCAGCCCCGCAAATACAAAATTGCTTCGTACGGTAGTCAGCAGTTAATAAACAAATAGCATGGTGGTAGATTGGTAGATGATTATAATAATACAGTTATTTTTAATGCAAATAAACATGTTGAATTGCCAGTGTTTTCATGCAAGAAACTAGGTGCTGTTTTACATGTTTGGGATGGAGACTACGGTGCTGTATCCTAGAAAAATATGAGTTTGGACAGCAAGTGTGTAAATATATATTGTGCATACTGTACAATTACCCACTTCATTTGCTTCCAAATCTCTACCCTACCCCCCTCCCCACCACCACTTGGATGATTGTTTTGTAACATTATACACTATATATAAGCGTGATCCAACTCGGCTCCTGAGGATTGGGAGCAAACAGGGGCGCACATTCCAAAAAAATTGGGGGTGTTCAATGTTCAGGGACCGACTTTTTTATCATTTGTGTTTGATAAGAAAAGCCGTTCAACTATACACTGCCACAACTATACACTGCCACATTTTTTTATTTTTTTTTTATTAGTTTTACAATAAGAAATTGAAGGCACAGAGAACAGGACTAATAAAGTCCCAAATTAAGTCCTGCCATACATGAAAATACTACGCTATACTATGCTATACTATACTATAAACGGTTATAAAATTAACAAAATACATAGCTAGTTACATATTTACGGTATTACACATAATTACATTCGTACAAAAACTCAGAACATGCACTTCTACGAACAACAGGACGTAAAACAAGAACGACATTTAGAGCAAAACGTTTTCCAAGTCCTTGGCCTATTAACATCAAAACATGCATTAACTTTTTGAGTGTAGTGATTATAGAGCTTAAGTTTCAAAATTTTCATTTATTAGAACGTAGACACCTCCGGACGGGGATATAGTATTCCAAGAGTAAATAAACGTTCAGTTTTTCCGAACTTCTGCTCTAAATATCGGGGGCCCCCAAATTATAATGTATTTCTAATTCTAGCGCCGAAGGCGCGTCAGTGGAAAATTTTGAATTTCTAGATTCATCAGAACGCTGTATCACGTATTTTAGGACGAGGTTTGAAGAAAAGTTACAACCACAAAAAGGCATTTTTAAGTCGCCTAATTTTGTTAGATTCAAAAAATATTTATGTAAAACGTTGTACTGTACACGAAAATACGTTGTACCGCCCCGCTCTTGGCTACGCCACTGAACTTCTGCCTTTCAAAGTTTCAGACTTTCAGTTTGTGCGACAAGGCAAACAATGCGCGTTTTGACTGCACCGCGGGGGCTTGAGGTAATCTGATTGCATTACGTTGGCGATATCTTGGTTTGTGTATGCGTTTTTGTTATTTTTATGCAATTTCCAAAATGTCCACCTATTCCTTTTTGCGACACAAAATGATTATGTCTTTCAGATTTTAGCCGGATCGACTTTTTTCGTCCCATACAGGTTTCGGGACCGACGTTTTAGAAATATTTCACAAAACATGGGGTGTCACCCCTCCCCCCTAATGTTCGGCCCTGGGAGCAAACATGTTATTGGTCAGTAGGTTGAATTTGGTTGGAAAATCAACCATTACACACATGGCCAAGCAATCGTTGACAATGACAACATTGATAAAGCATGTCATAACCTGCCAGATAAAATGGCGAGAGAGTTGAAATTAAAATGACCCGCATTCTGTTCTGCTGACCTTTTCCTTACAATATAACATCCTCTTAATAAGGAAATGGTATAAATCATGTAGGTAGTGTAAACTGTGGGCAATGCTCACAATTTCCCTGTGTCTTATTTTTTCATCAGAAATTACATTGCAAGTTGCAACAAATATTGCCTATTTGTGTAACATGGCCTTAATATTAGGTTATTATTTCAGCAGTGGATTTACAGGGAGGAGGGTCGGGAGGGGGTCTGTACCTCTAGCCCTGGCCAGAGGGGGTGCTATTTTTTTACGATAAAGCAAAAAATAATGGAGTGAAGAGGAGATACAGTAATTTTAGCAATAAAATGATGATCAGCGAACTGTTAGCAACAATTACAATTCAAATACAACATGTTGATTGGTGGGCGGTACACATGACCGACATAACTCGGGCATCAGAGTTCGCAGAGCATTCCCCTCCCCCCAACCAGATCACGCTAGATCCATCGCTGTATTATTTACATGGGTGTGAATCTCTTTTGATGGTGTAAAACATGCTTTTTCTCTGCAATTTTCAAGTAACAATCCAAATTTTTAGATGGCTGTTTAACATTTCAGTCAGTTGGATGGCAAGCTGGTTAATACTATACCACTCAGTATGTACTATTTAAAGCACACGTAGGAGTGCTTTATCAGATATAAAACGCGAGACGAAGTCGAGAGTTTTATGTCTTATAAAACACGTCGACTACAAGTGCTTTAAATGGCTTAAAAACGACCCATCTTCTGACGAAACATTAGCGAAGTAATTTTTAAAATAAACGTTGTCTAAATTAACATGATTTTTTATCACATATAAAGATACGACACGCTTTTGATTTTCCTTTGTGCTTTGCACCTGAATTATTAATGAGTTTTTGAAGTGCTGTTTAATAAACGAGCAGGAGTGTTTTATTACACTGACCTGAAAGGTCAAGTGTCTTAAATCCCTAGTTTTCTGTTTTCTTCTGTTTTTTTCGTCGTCGAGAAATCGAGTTTGCGTTCGCGCATCGCAGGCTCAGGGTGCAACGATTAATCCAAAATGCCATCGATTCTTCGACTCCACGATTCATATATAATAGTAAGAAGCTTGTATTTATGTACGTAATAGCCAGCTCATGCCATGCTTGTGGTGCATTTTTCGTTTATTAGCCCATATATAGACTTATATGGACTTATACGCACGCGCACAATTCTGAACTCCAATGGTGACATATTCAGCCAGTTTCAAAATGGCGCCTTTTGGCTGAGTGATCAGAATATATTTCACACCGTTTCGTTGAATTTTCAAAGAGTTGTGCCGGTTTCCTATGGAGTTTACGTTGTGTCGCACTCTGAACTTTCTTGCGTGTTGAATTAATATGTTTTTCTACGTGTAACGACTCGAAAACCCCAAAATTTGGACCCAGCGAATTTTACAAAGGACAAGTTAAAGGTTTGACAGTTTGACTTTTTAACTAATAAACAACAGTCTATAAATATACGTTGTAGAGTCATAAACATCCGTGATGTAGTTGTGTTCATTTTTTGTCGCACTCTGGACTTTCTTGCGTGTTGAATTAATGTTTTTCTTCTTGTATTAAACGACTCTAAAATTTGGCTTCCAAAATTTGGCCGACCCGGCGGATTTATACAATCAATATGTTGTATTCAACGACTCGAAAACCCAAAAATTTGGACCCGACGCGAATTTGTACAATATAGTGGGATGTAAGTTGGGACAAGTTAAAGGTTCGACAGTTTATTTTGATTTATTGTATGGTTCTCATTTGCCTAATACAATAACATTTAGTTCACAATACAATATAAACAAGGGCAAGTTAAAGGTTTGACCATATTAAAATACATGTATTGAAATTCGCGCAATAGCTACTAGAATTCGCGCAAGTAAAGATAAAGCGAGCGTTCGATCAAAATACCAAAAAGAACTAAGACATTTATTGTATGGTTCTCATTTGCCTGATAGAATAACATTTAGTTCACAATATAATATAAACAAAATATAAACAAGGAAAAGTTAAAGGTTTGACAGTTTCACTACACAATGTCGACAATATACCTTAATACATGTATTAAAACTCGCGCAGTAGCTACTAGTTGGTGCGCCAAACGCTTTGTGGTAGCTATAGCCTAGTAAAGATAAAGCGTGCCTTCAAAATACCTACAAGAACTAAGACATTTATTGTATGGTTCTCATTTGCCTAATACAATAACATTTAGCTGTACGCGAATTTTAAAGAATGTGTGCCAACCGGCATGCACTGCGCGCTTCATTTGCTCTGGCGGCCATTTTTTTGCCAGAGAAATTCACGAGAACATTGTATTGCGAAGTAATCATCAATATTATTGTCCATCTTCGTATATGTTATACTATTTCTATAATTTTTGTCCATCTTCGTAATTTTTATTCATCTTCTATGTTATAATATTTTTATAATTTGGCTTGTGTTATATTTGAAGCAAAAAATACCACATTTATAAAATTAATACAGTATTAAATGGCATCGCCATCGTTGCCAAAGCGCGGCAGGCCAAAACTAGGCATTGAAGTTCACCGGATTGGCCTACGAATGGACGTCTATAACGAGTGGCAGGTACAAAAAGATTTGGTTGGAATGGCTGAGAAAACCCATAGTGAATTCGCTAGTCACCTACTGCAAATGTGTGAAGAAATGAGAGTGCGTCAAAACAATCAACAATGCTCAACTCCATCGAGTCAATCCCAAGGGCAAGGTGAGTTTATTACAAATTATATGCCATGATTATTCTTCCAACACCTATGATTTTAAGGAAATGGAATCTTTGTATTTTAGTATTTGTATTTTATTCATGTATGCTTGATTATTTACAGTGCCAGTGGATAAATGTTGGAACGAATTTTAATTATGATACAAATATTTGTTTTTTGTTCCATCAAGGTCATGTTGTCCAGTCTACGCCATCACAACTTGTTAGAAGATCACTACTTCATGAAGATATTCATCTGTCTCCTATTCTGGCTGACGAATCTGAGATTGATAAGTAGATTCTAGATAGAAATAGAACTTTCCCACACCATTCCAAATATAAGCTCCCCCCCCGAATATATCCCCCCCCCACGCACACATATTGAATATAATATAATTTTTGTATCTTTTCATGTTTATAATTAACAATAAATACTTGGTTACCAATGTTGTCCATGTATAAGCCCCCTGTATATACTGTAAGGTATATAAGCCTCCCCCTATGTATAAGCCCATCAAAAAACACTTACAAAATTTATATAAGCCCAGGGCTTATAATCGGGGGTTTACGGTATTCGCTCACTATTTTCAGGACAGTAGATGTTGCAGACACGTCGATTTGTCCCAGTTTGGATGTTAGCAGAATTGAGAGTCTGTGCACAAGCATCAACCCTGAATTTGGAATGTTTCCTGGTAGGCTGTCATCAGAATCGGAAAGTGAGAGATCTGAATCTTCAGAAACAACAAGGTGAACATTACTTTATAGTATTATCAAGTGCATAAATTATGATACTATGACTACACTTGGAAATATCCAGAGTTAGCTACAGTAGATATAATATTTTAATACTTTTTCCATTTGTGCACTGCATTAACATATTTTTAATTTATAAACAAGCAGCTCGGATTTGGTCAGTTCAGAATATGCTATGTATGATGCTGATGAGGATGATATGGATAATTTTGAATGGTGTGACGACAGTTTTTATGACAAAGATTTCATGGATGTTGACGATGAGATGTAAGTAAAATATTATTAAGTATAATAGTAAGATTGAGATTTTCACTCGGCCTTGGAACTCCAATTATTTTGTGAATACATGTTGTCAAGGCCACTTTTGAATGTTGTCAGGTCGCTGTCAGGCATTGAAGGGTAAAAAGTAAACAAAGTTCAATTAACAGAATTTGTGATTGACAAGTATTGTGGGATATGAGAGGACTATGAAAATAAACAATCCAAATTATTATTTAGAAGCAAAATGTAAAAACTTTGATTCAAGAATATTGAAATCAAAGATGTTATTTTGCAAGTAGTTTTAACTAAGCAAGCACTCTGATAGCAATGCCTTTTACACTGACCAACAGCACCTTGACAACATTCAAATATGGCCTTGACAACGTAGTACCACCGCCTTGATAACATACATTGTGTGGTGATAAAGTTTTTGTAAATGTTCAAACATTTAAACAAAACATTTGGCATTCCAAGGTTGAATGAAATCACATTAATTATTTTGCTTTATAAAGTGAGATTATGATAGTGAAAGTCACATTGTATCAGTTTACCAGTAAACAGACCAATCAAAAGCAATTTTTCATACCAGAAAAAACATGGAGGTCAGATTTTCCCTTTCATGTTGAAGTATTCAGAATTCTTCATGTGTACTTTGGGTTTTCACCCATACCAAAAACATAGTAATTGAGTGTAGTTGTAGAACATATGTATTATGGGCCCATGGCTAGCTTGGCTTAAAGTGGGAAACCCATACCTACAAGTATTAGTATTGAATTCATTGTAGTAAATGCAGTACTATTTTCTTTTGAAGTTTTGAAGAGGCTGAAGGAGATGTGACATTAACTGCTTCAGAGGGTGAAGATGAACCATCAGAGCTTGATCATACTAAGGGAGAGGAAGATATGGATGTGAGCTATTTTGAAGAATGGGATAGAACTAACATAGAGGTACAGCATGGTCCAGAGACAAGGGATGATTGGGCACAGAGATTATTAAAACAGCTGAAAGAAGAATTTGATAAAGTGAATGTTGCAGGAAAACAGAGCCAGATTTTTGCAGACCATGGTCAACAGAGTCGATCAGTTGTTGAGGTAGATAAATTGTTGGAATTATTTAAAAACAATTGCCAAATGCATCTATGTACTGGACAAAGTAGAGTTGAAAATTGGAAAGCTGATGGGGGTGTTTTAATAATCACATGGAGATGCTGTCATGGTCATGGTGGGATCTGGTCGTCATCAAAGGTTTTATGCGTAAAGAAGGAACAGAATGTGTACACCACTACCATAATGATAGCTGCAGCAATTATTATAACAGGTGGCAATTATGAAAAGTTTGCACTATTTTGCAAATTTCTTGGTCTGTCATTCATCTCAAGGTCAACTTTTATGAGAATCCAAAAGAAGTATGTGATTCCTGAGATCAAGAGATTTTGGAAAGACATGAAGGCATCGATATGGAAAATCTTTTTTGGGGAAAGCATCATTCTTTGCGGTGATGGCCGAAATGATTCACCAGGTTTCAGTGCTAAGTATTGTGTGTATGTACTTATGGAGCAGTTTGTCAATGTAATCGTAGATATCGAAGTTGTAGACAAGCGTGAAACTGGTGGGGTGTCAACCAATATGGAAGTTTATGGACTGAAAAAACTGTTGGAACGTGTTGTTGGTGAGATTGTTGTGTCAGAAATTGTGACAGATGCTTCCACGGCAGTTGCCGCACTGGTTAGAAGAATGAAAGGTATAATAATAGTAGTAATGGATTAAAACATGAAAATTAGGTGCAGGAAAAAAAATTATTTCATGTCTTCCCATTATGTTTTAATGCATTGTGTCCTAATGCACCTACATTATTATTTTACTCTGTCTAATGCCAGATGATTTTCCTAGACAATCCTGTTCATCAAGGGGAGATGGCGCTGGCTCTTATAAATGGGTTAATTAATTAAATATATTTTATGGATTTTTTAGATAAATATCCTAATGAATTTGGTAACCTGTTTCATGCGCTTGACATTTGGCACAAATCTGTAAAGTTGACAAAGAAGCTGTCAAAGGTGATATTTAACTTCACTCCCTTATACAATATACTGTACGTTATTGTGTCATTTAGGAATATATGGTAATCATTAAATTAAATAAAACATAATCTCTTTAAGTGGTGAACATGGGGGAGAGGATTATTTTAGACAAAAAAAGTTTAACTAAAATTTCTAGCTACAAACATTGGTCAAATGCTGACACCCTAAAATCCTCTCAAGTGTCTGCAAAAGTACATCATCTTCACTATAGAGTCATATTTTCCTAATTGAGATGTTTGGTTTGAATATTTTTGGTTTTAGGCTGCAAAAATGAAGGGTTGTGAGGTACAAAGCGAGTGGACCGAGCCAATACGAAACCACTTCTGGTATGTTGCACAAGAAAGTAAGGGCAACACAGAGAAATTAAAGGTGAGGAAAGTACTAACTTTCACGTTAGAATGTTACCCTTATATATTATAGTTAATAATAATCAGGGTTTGAATTAACAGTGTGAAAATACTGGACCAAATAGTGAACATTGCACATCACTTTTCCAAATGTTCTGTGGAAAATCAGACTTGGAAACTATTGGGACTATTTGCCTTATAAAGTAGGGCATATTGGAGCTTATTGGTTTAATGAATACACTTTAGGACAGCTGGTTTGGAGTTTTACATCATGTTGTTGGTGAACACGAATGGGCAGATGGTGAGTGCACACATGGTCCTCTTGTTTCCACTGAAGAAAACAAGACCTTGATGGATAAGGGTTCCAATGCAATGGAGGCTTTGCGGAAAGTGGTGATGGATCCTCGCTTTCTTAATGCTTTGCACCATTATGTAACATTCAGGTATATTGACCGGTCATGGGACTTTACAGTGCATTTCTCATTATACACCTGCAGTAAGTTTATAATAGGCCCTTCACAGCTGGCCCTGTGCCATTGCTCTCCATAACAATTAAAATCGTCTAGCGCTAGGTGTAAAAACAAGGGGGTAAAATGACTTTTGCACAACAATATATCTGTGCTGTGTCTTAAGCCTGTTTCACATAAAATCGTTAAGCGGTCGCAGACATGTGCCGAATTTTTATATGAACACAAATGCAGATTCGCGCAGACTGTCTGAGACCGGATCGGCGACGGATCGTTCATATAAAAATTCGGCACATGTCTGCGACAGTCTGCAACTGTCTGCGACTGCTTAACGATTTTATGTGAACCAGGCTTTACTGTAATCCTTTGTTTTCAAACCCCACTGATTTCAATATTCTCCACTCACTCATTGTTCTCAACTGATACTATTCAATTACACCTATGGTGTTTACACCTGCACTTGTTGTTTGTGACTTGACTTCTATTGTGATTTTCTTCTTCTGATGGATGTGAATGAGTAGATGAGTTATCAATGTTCTGAGTACATATATACCCTCATCTGAACATTCATAATTCATTCACTCTTTCACATCCATCAGAAAAAGAAAGTCGCACCTAAAAAAGTGGAAAATATAAAAATTGTGAAGTCATGTGAAGTAATGATTTATTTATTAGACACACCAGCAAGCTACAAAATTTCAATTCAATGCTTTTGAAATATACACCAAAGCGAGTTGGATTTCAGTAAGTAATATGTAATCGTAAATAATGTATTTACTAATGTATTTGCAACACTCACTCTTTGTCTGGTGTTAGATGATATGGTGGCCACATATGGGCATGTTGCTGTCATTGTAGCTTAATGGATTTCAAATTGAAAGTCAAGACAATTATGTCAATTTATTTATTAAACTACAACATTGTTTTAGGAATGACTCATTTATAGCAAGAATATTACTTGCAGCTATTGACCACAACAGCCATCTCTTCAGACAAGCAGCTTTGAACAGGGATGGATGAGGTCTATGTCAACCTCAAACTCGAACTTACTCATGTTAGCATTGGGGTACTTTTCTTTGAAACTGGAAATTGCTTTCATACGAGCCCTATTACCTGCAAGCACAACGTCAGGGCGTTTCAATACTTTCATGTACTCAGTGTAGACATCACCCATCTTTTAATAACCTAACGTATGTTATTAGAATGAAGTTCACAGTCCTTCTCAAAGGTTCGCACACAGTGGTACCGCTACAGAACTCAGTTCTAACAAGCATCTATAGTTCAATCTTTGTGAAAAAGGTGTCGGTCTTCTGGGAATTCATGAACGTTAGGGACTACACGGTGATGGTAACAACAGGTAAAACAGGGCAGTATGGATATCCACTGTACCCAGGATATTACACATTTAACGACTTAGTTAAACTTGTAGGTAAATCTGGAGTAGCCAAATTGAAGTATGTTAGGGAAAGTGGAAGGTCATCACTCTTCGTAAAGGATGGTGAGAACTTTAATCTTAACCCACTTTTATCACAGTTTTTGGGATGGACTGACCCTAACCAACAGAGGTATGTCGGTAACGGTCTGTTTATTCAGTCCAGTGACAGAGTGGACATTAACCTTGGTCTTAAGTTTGTAAACATTCATTTTAACCTCACCAGCAAGAGCTACAACGTAGACCAAAGACTGGATTCGAAACACCAGAGAAACTATACTTTAGAGCAATATCAGACGGTCTTAAAGTAAACAGAAATCAGGTCAAGAAATGGATAAACGAGCAAGACACATACACCAGTTACAGACAGGTGTTTAGAAGGCACAAGTTCAGACAGACGTTCGTTCAAACTTTAGGTGAACAGTTACAAATGGATTTAGTTGATATGTCAAAATACAATGACAAGAACAAGGGATACCACTGGATTCTCACATCCATAGAAATACTAAGCAGGTACGTGTTTACAGTACCAGTGTACAGGAAGACCGCTCTAACAATGAAGAACGCTGTTAGTAACTGTTTAGAGCAATTCAGGAACCACTTCGGGAAGTACCCAAAATTCATTCAGTTTGATCAAGGTACAGAGTTCTACAACAAAGAAGTAAAGTCATTGCTCAATGAACATAACATTGAGTTTTTCTCCACTTACTCAGATAAAAAGGCCGCAGTTGTGGGAAAGGTTTAACAGAACACTAAAAGCACTAATGTGGAAGTACTTCTACATTGCCAGTACATACAGATGGTTAGACGTCCTTCAAGACTTAACCGATAATTACAACAGTTCAGTGAACAGGTCAATTAAAACAACACCGGATAGTGTTAATGAGTCCAACTGGACTGACATATGGAAGACACTTTTCAGTCACGACCTAGGTGAACCAACAGAGCCAAAGTTTGTTGTCAGAGAAAGTGTCAGGATTTCAAAGTACAAATCAGTGTTCACAAAAAGGTACGAAGCAAACTTTACAGAGGAGATATTCACTGTGACGGAAGTGTACCACGGACACCCAAACACATACACAATAGAGGACAGTGCTGGTGAACCAATAATTGGCAGATTCTATGAACAAGAACTGTATAGCGCTGAAGGAAGAGAACCTGATTGCAGGATAGAGAAAGTATTAAGAAGAAGAACAGTGAAAGGTAAGAAGATGGCTTTCGTTAAGTGGTTAGGTTACGATGAGAAATTTAACAGTTGGATACCAGCTGGAGACATCAAGTTCCTAACATAGGTTACAGTATTATGGAGGACGTAGAAGACTACGAGTTAGAGGAGGAACAAAAAAGTTATCCCCAATATGACGGCATGAACTACCACGATTTGCTTTCAAACTTTGATGAACTAACAAATAGGTTACAAAGGGAGGTAAAGTATGATTCAGATCCATTGGTAGCCACTGACCTTAACAACGAACTCAGCTATGTGAAGAAGCGAATGGAGGAACTCGGAACAGCACAGACAACTTTCACTGAAGGAGATGAAGGAACTGTAAACATTTCAGGACCATCAGGAAGCACAACCGTTCCAAGCGCCGACTTTATGGAAGACCCAAACAATTCATTCCAGATGTGCTAGATGCATTTAATGAATCATTTGAAGCTAATTGGGATGATATAGAGGAACGTCTACGTAAACTAAAAAAGTTCTCAACAGCAGAGAAGAAAAGGAACTTTGAAAACCAGGTGGATCGTGTTCAGGCTGTCACAAGAGTTATCCAAACAAAGGAGAAAATAGTACTCAATCCTAGGAATAGAAACGTTAGGGAACTCATCAAGCGATCATCTGTTAAAGCACTCAATGATGACACAGAGGTATTAATGTTTAGAAGTGAGCAGGGTATTAACAAAAGTGGTACTCAAATAATGAAACGTGGAAAGACCTCAGTTCCAACGTATTCCAATAATTCCCCTGCACTGAGAGAATACAAGGACCTAGTGAGGAAGATCAGAGAGGACCAAACAACTGACACTGAATTTTGAACAGAGGAGGATACTGGTAGTGAGACCACAGTTATAAATCGAGGTGCAGACCTGAATGATTTCAGTGATGCTGACAATACATTTGAAGACATTGAACTCATAGATGTGAGGATTGCTAGAGATGACATACCAGGTATAACCCCTACGGAAAATAGAGAGCTCCGAGGAGTACCAACCCCACAGACACCATGGACCTGGAATCAAGAAAAGGTGACGATGGTGCACTCCAAAAACAGGTAGAATACTTTCAGGACACAATCAGTAAAACGTTGGAGTTGAGGAATGAAATAGAAGATCCAGAGGAGTTCATCAATTTGGAAGAAAGAATAGTAGCTCTTAGGGAAGCAAGAGACAGGACAGTCATGCAGGAAGAATTAGAGGAAGGTAGACAAGCTCTTGTTGAAGACATTTCCAGATTCCGCAAATTCATGAAATGGTTAGGGAAGAAAATGTGGGACTCACAGGTGTTGCAGTATCAACAGCCGGTCTAATTAAAACTCTACTAATCCACGCCAGGGGAGCAATCATAGGAACAGCAAAGGCAACAAGTAAAGTAGCCAAAGCAATAGCCAACTTAGCTAAGAAGGCAGGTCCCATTCTTGTGCCCGTCCTCAACGCAATCGCATCTGCACTCTCATGGGGAGCAAAGGGAATTCCATGGCTAGCTTCACATTTATGGGTATTAGCTATAGCAGCAGCCGTAATGGTCTACAACTATCACACAAAGTAGATTAGCTATGGAGGTGGATCCTGAAGAATACGATGATCAGAGAATGGAGGAGCTGAAAGAAAGGTATCCAAATTACAATGACATGAATATAGAAATTTTAGATAGCGAATTACTGCACCTTGACAAAGATCTAAAAGAAAGTGAAACCAATGAGGAAATAGTAGATATTCAAAAGGAGATGGCATACGTAAATGAACTAAGAAGGAGAAGGCTATTGGAGGAGCATGAAATCGAACAACAGCAGGATCTTACGAGAGAGCAATTAGCAGAAAGATTCCCTGACTTACCCAAACTATCATACGATGAGCTACTGGATAGGGGAGACAAGCTATTGAACGAAATGATACTATCAAACCTAGACGAAGACAGATTTAAAGAAAAGTCAGAAGAACTGAGGTACATCAGAATGCTATAAGGTGATTACCAAAGAGAATCCAGTCTGAATAAACTACTAAACCTGAGAGATAAGGTGAAAAGGAGAAAGCTAATCAAACGTGATGACAACAGGCAACTAGAACTGTTCAAGATATGGGCAAGGGAAAACGCAAGCATTTTATCAGCTGTACTAATTTCCACAACCGCCGTAATCGTAGGACTGATAGCTGCAACTAGAAACATATTATGGAAAGTTAGTGATTGAACAGGAAAGCTCGATAAACGGATCAGTAAGATGGAAGGAGGCCAAATAAGACTACCACCTGTATTTCAGAAGATAGCAGATGGAGTAGAGTTAGCTGCGAACAATATTTGGATAGTCATAGCATGTGCGATAGTGGGGCTACTCTATGCTTACAGCTAAACATCCCATATAATATACAAACATGAATACCACAGAAATGGAACTTCAACCTGGCTTCAGGAGGAGCCGCATGACTACCATCAAAGGACCTCGAACCAGAAGTGTCGTCACATTTAATTCAACAACGATCAGTCCTGGGGAAGAGTTATATATCAATATACCGAAACTCAAACCTTCCCCCTGTTTAGTCCCAGGATCACTTGCTCTCCTTTTTGACTTCAAGAACTCTAACACCAAGAGTCGCTTCATGAATAACCTGTCAAAGCTTCTAGCCAAACGGTTACAAATAAAGGTAGCAGGAGAGACAGCCTATGACTGTTCAGGAGAGAGTCTATTCGAAGTGTACAAGGACCTATGGCTCACAATAGGAGACAGGAAGAAGATGATTGAACAGGGTGTAGCAAACGAAAACCTTCGCAAGCTATTCTCAGGAGATGATTCAGGTAAAAAGACAGTTGATGACAATAAAGATGCAGACGCTCTAATCCAGTCAATCTACGGCACTAAGCTGAAGATACCAATTGATAAGATCATAGGTGACCATGGACTTTACACTCCATTTACCATGAATAACAATCCAATGTACATCCTAACTCCCCAGAAGCAGATGAGATTATGGTGGCCCAAAGCAGTCAAAAAGTTGAAGGATACAAACTGGAAAACCTTGAGTGAGAATATGAGACCATCGAGAATGACATCCTTGCAAGTGAGGTATCAAGGATGTATTCCACGGGAAGATCACTGTCCTACAAACACGTCACACTTATGCGAACAAGTAACTGGGACAAGGATCTTACCATTGTCAATGAAAACATTAACATTCCCAGGAAAAGCATGTCAGCAATTGTTCTCTTCTTCACAAACAAAGTGAGAACTGATTCTGAGCAGTATCTGTACCCCAACCTTGAGAAAGTCAGGTTAACCATTGAAGGTGTGCCAAACTCTGTGTTTTCTCAAGGCTTACCCAAAAGCAGGTTCTTCAAAGAGGCAAAAAGGTTCTTCTGCCCTATGTGTGAGAAAACAATGGCCGACGAGAATATGTCCATTGACAAGTTCTACAAAGACGGGTTCGCTCTTGTGATAGATCTCAGGTCAACACAAGATGATACCACTGGAGGAGGTAAGAAGATTGTCAACACCCAACGTGGAGTCTTACTGGAAATAACAAAGAAAGCAACAACAGCTGACGTTCAGTGTAACATTTTCATTGTATCAGATGCTCTCCTTAACTTTGCCAATAGAGATCTCTCAAGTATTCAATACTAATGGTGACACATAGAGATGCCACCTCAACCGCCGTTCAACATGCTTATAGTTGGTATGACAGGGAGTGGGAAAACCCAGTTTCTCCTTGACATGTTACAAACAGAATACAACAGAGTGTTCGACTACATTACCATTGTATGCCCAACAATCAACTGGAACACAACGTATCTTAATTGGAGCCATCTCAGTGATCACGGGGTTATTCAAATTCCCTGTTCGCAAGAAATGATCAATGATGTTCTCAAGGCGGTATCCATCATATTGCGTGGAACCAATACTCTCATCATAGTGGACGATTGTGCGGCAAGTCAAGCTGTAAAGAAAAGAGTATCTGAACTGGTTCGCTTAGCATTCTCCGCAAGACACTACAACTTATCTGTCATTGTACTCACACAACAACTGTCCTCAGTAGCAAAACTATTCCGTGAGAACATTTCCAGGTTAGTCACATTCTACAACCCTAGTCGCAAAGACATGAAGGTCATATCAGACGACTACCTAAATGCACCTGCACTTAGAGAAGTAGAAGAAGCCGCAAAACCTCCACCTAAAAAGAAGCCCACCGTAAGTAAGTCGCAAACTGAAAAGAAAAGGGAGAAACTTATTGAGCTATCCAAGGATGGCACCGTAGAGAAATCAACAAGCTTCATAAGGAAGGCCAACAAAGGTGTTGCAGAAAAACTGTACAGTGACTATGAGGAACAGAGAATGTCATATGCTGGTGACTTCCTATCAACACTTATTATCTCAAAGTTTGCGTCAGTATTAGGAAGCCTCAATGCTGTGGAATCATCAGAGAAACTGTCAGAGGAACTACTCAACGACAAGCTTCTGAAGGACGACGTAGCATACCTCACAAGAACGATATCCCCCAACATTCCATTCATAGGACTCATATCAGGTGGCTGCACAACAGCTAAGCATGTAGTAGGCCACAAGTGGGCTAAACCTCCCCTATTACATACAGAATGTCACAACTCGAATGGGGAAATCCCTGGGAAGGAACAGAATTTGAAGACATAATTGACGAACTGATTCAGAAAACTGATGAGAGCAGGGAACGACTTGATAAACTGGAAAGTATCCTTGAGGCACTCAAGTATGACTTCGAAGCTTCTGACTATATCGTTAGGCTATGTTCTTCAAACGTTTTTGGCAGATTTTTTCTTTTAAAAAATTGTTTCACTCCTCAGTTTCTGTCGCGAAAGCCAGAGCGGGCAGTTGCATTTCACAGCGGGCAGTTGCGTTTCAGAGCGGGCCGGATGCAAAAAACCGGCCCGCTCTGAAAGGCTCTCAGCCAATCAAATTGCTTCATTTTCACTGATAAAAAATAAAGAGAATAAATATACACAAACTTAACGTTCATTGACTTTGGCTTCAAAATCTTCGAATTCTTTCAAAGACGAAAATCACAGAACTTCAGATGAAGGAGTGGCTTCTTTCTTCAACAGGATCTTGCCGTACTTTGTCCAAACAAACTTGTAGTGATGGTCCCGTTTGAAGGCTTTAACGGCTCTGAGCAGAGCTCTGGATTGTTGTGTGTGAGGCTTTCGTTAATAAAAAGTCGTGATTCCAGATGATATCCAAGCTGTAATGCAGTCTTTGAAGATAGACCACGTCTCCTTTTGTATATCTTGTCTCTCATATCTCTTCTGACAAATTTTACAATTATGGGCGGTATTTGACCTTGAAGGGAAGGCAGACGATGACTAATAGAAATTTCACTTTGCTCGAAGGTCATTAATGGGTCGGCAAGTTCGAAAACTTTCTGTACGATTAAATTGGTATTTTCTCCCTCCGTTATGGGCACTCCATGGATCTCCAGTATATCCCTTCGAATATATTGCTTTAGTTGTTCAACTTCGCCTTCCGAGACGAGAACGCTTTTCTATAAACGCTTCACTTGTTCGCTCAGTTGCGTGTTGCTCGAGCGTAGGTTGTCATTTTCAAGATGAAGCTCTTTAACCTCTTTTACCAGGTCATCAAATTTGCCGCCCAAGAACTCCTGACTTTTCTTAATTTCGTCCAAATCAGCCTTGGTCGACTTAGAAAATTTTAGAAAAAGCTCATTCAGCTGATCGGTTTGCTGCTTGAGGCGATCATCGAGAAAAGCTTCCAAGCTTGACTTGTTGCTGCATGGCGACATATTGTCTTCGCCCATATTTTCTGCTTCAGAGTCATCAGCAAGTTTTGTTTTCGTATATTTCTTTTTTGGCGGCCTTCGGTTGTACAAGTTATAAGGCCAGTGATATATAGAAATAGGCCAGAAGTATATCTTTAATAAGATTTCAAAGTTTAAATATATTTAAAGCGGAGCGCCTGAGCACACGTCTGACCGTCTGAGCACACGAATGCTTTACCCCAATATGGCGCCATCTTGACGCTCATTACGAGTGACAGCAAAATCACAACAGCACAATATTTATTGACGTTTTTAGCGCAGATGTTGCTTTAGTAAACCTATCTTGTAATTATTTTTGAAATAATATTGTGCTTTGAGCAAATTGAAACTACTAACGTGTACAATTCTGATCCACAAATGTCTTTTCCACATTTCTTTACATATCTTCCTTTGAGAACATGCATTGATAAAGGGTTTTTTTCAAGATCCAGAAATGATTTTTCTTTTAATTTCGGATATGAAATGTAAATGCATTAAAGAAATATATTTTCAGTTAAAAAACGGGGGTCACAGATCTTTTTAGGGAGTTGTGACATTAAAACGTGAGATACAAGTAAATCAATATACTGCAGACACCGGAAAAACCAGCTACACTTTTGTATGCCTTTTTTGAAAGCTTGATCATGTTTTGAAGTAACATAAAATTGTCATAAAATGATTTTTTTATAAACGGTACGTATAATGGATAAAATTATAAGTTATAAGATGTGCTCAGTAAAAGTGCGCAATGCAAAACTGCGGAATTACCTTAATCAGAAACGGGACATACATTGCAATTAAAAAGATGTCCTCGCCGTCGCACAAATTGCACTACTTATTACCTGAGAGAGTGGGGAACATTAGGAAGGAGAAACTAGATCCAACAGAAACAAGTTTTATAATTTTAAAAGTAGAACTGATCGTTTTAAGAACAGTCCACCAGTCCATGTATATAAATACAATAAGTAATAGTTCAAATACGAGAAAAAGGACTTTACCGTGACTTCAAAGTCCGAGAGCTTTTTGAAAAGGCGAGCCGCAGGCGAACATTTTTAATGCTCTCGGACTTCGATATTCCGTTAAAGTCCGAGGTCGAGTATTAGAACTGACTTCTCAAACTCATCAATTATGCAATATTTTACTCATGAATATTTTTACTTGAAAATTATATGCTGCGAATGCTACGCCATGCGACAAGCGTGTATACAGATTGTTGTAAGCGAGAGTACGAGACATGGCAGGGAACGATAGAACGGTTTCAAGGTGAAGACCAACTTTGTTTAACGAATGAAAGCAGAGTATTGGCTGACAATATTCGTCTCAGCTGGTGAGTAAGACAGCGAAGGATATTTTTGAGATTGACTGATGAGTTTCGGTTTATGGAGGACTACTTAGCGAGTCAAGAATAGTTAAATATTGAACTACATGCACCAGTCGAGAAAGCCGAAAAAATTGCGAGTTCTGAAAAGGAAACCTTCAGCCTCCCACTATATCCAACTGTAGAGTGTAGTGTATGTATAAATTACTACAAGAAATACATGCATGGAGTAACCCCACGCCAATATTTTCCAAACATTAAATTAACATGAAGTATTAATCACAAATGGCCGACACTGAACGCAGGCTCGCGCTCAAGTGTTGCCATGACAACATGATATCTTAAATTTTTAATTTTTTTCATATTTTTGTACAAAACTGCAAAATATAGTTGAAAGATTCGTACTTTAACTATACAACAATAAATTTCCAATATATTCACTGTAGGTATATTATTTTGCATTTTGTGAGCTTTGATTTAATGTAGAATTTAACTTGAAACGCTTCGTGAAATTTTTGAAATATTCATTCAACCAAACTACATTTGCCGATAAGCTGTTTTACACACAAAACAAATTGTTATGTAATTTTAGTTCAGTCCTCAAATCAATTTGTTCAAATTAAACGGTAATTTATGACTTAGAGCTTCGTTGAAAAGGAAAACAGTTCATGTTTTTAGGCAAAAATTAGAGCAACAAAATTCAAAGCAAACTTGCCGTATATTTTACGATTTCCCATAGTAAATCAATTCTTCTCATTTCTTCAAACAAAATTGCTTCAAGCTTGTTGTATATGAAACGATTTTCCAAATATATGTCTTTTAAAATTGAAATCTTGCTTATCCCACTCCCACAAGCAATCAGCCATATTTTTGAGATCAGTGAGGATGATCACCCACTCAAGTTCGTTGGTCACGCGCGCGATATTTGATGAACTTTAGAGTTCGCTAATGCTTTCGTTTCCCCGGGTGTAAATAGGCGGGGGGAATTAGTACCCTCGCACGGCGCTTCGCACCGTCGGCACGGGGATAATCTTTAACGTGATTGCATAACAAGCGAGATATTCGTGTTATTAACTAGAAAATACATTCATGCAGAAACCCTCGCCTTGCGGACAAAACCATTGTATTTTCCGAACATGAAGTATCTAAAGTAGTTGTCATGGTAACACGATAATTTTTGTAGAATATTCTTACAAATGAAAAATCGCCTAAAAATATCACTTTTTAATTACAATTATTATATATGTTAGGTATGTTATTATACGTAATATTATACCTCAAATTGAAATTGTCCAATCAGGAAGCTTAGTTTGTGCCACGTGAGCATGAAATTAATCGCGATATCACGCCTTACATCATCAATTAGCGAGCCTGCGTTCCTTTTGACAATGTTCCACCCCATGTTCCCCGGGGAACATGGGGTGGAACATTATTCGCGTACACCACGCGGGAC